TGATATTTTTGGGGCCCTTATCGAAGATCAGTTGTCTGTATGTTGATGATTTTATTTCTGGGTTTTCAGTTCTTTTCCATTGGTCTGAGTATCTGTCATTGTACCAATACCACGCGGTTTTGACAACTGTCATAGCCCAGTGTTTAACCCACTGCACCAACTGGGGTCCTTTGTGGGAGCCATCCCACAACCAGATGGTTCCCAAGGGACTAATTGAAGGGAATAATTAAACAGACAAACCGTGCCAGGGCTCACCTCTTCCAGGGCAGTAGGAACCAGAGAGCATGAATATATTCTTTCACAGGCGGATATATTCTCAGGACATGCAGATCTCATTAACTGCATATGTAACCAGGTGGGCAGTATCTTAACCCTAGAGGTCCCTGCGCTCACTGGGGAAGAAACCTAATACTAGCATCGGGGACAGGCAGAGGGGGTTCCAGTGCCCCTTGAGCAGCTGGACAAAAGAAACCCGTCTGCTCCCATAAGGAAAGGCCTCGGCCGCATGGTGATCAGCCATGAGCGCGCTGGAGGGAACATCACGGCAGCACTCTAATGGGAGGATGTTGTGGGGATGGTCTTTAATTAGGAGAATGTGACCGGGACTTTTCTCCAACTCACAAATGTGAAGGCCTCTCTTCAGCCCGACGCCGGCCCTCCCAGTCTTCTGGAATCCTGAGAATTGACACTCTCCTCCCGGCCCTCAGTGTCCCTCAGTGTCCCACAGGCCTTTCCTCCATCTCTGGCTGATCCACAAAACCAAAGCAAACCTGTGGCCATTGAGACCGTTTGAGCTCAGAGCAGGACCTCACGATGAAAGAGTCGAACTGGCCATCAGGCTTTCTTGGCTGTGGCCCTTCCTGGAGAAAACCACCAGGTCTTTGCTCTCATTCCAATCACTGCCCTCGTGCTGAGCAGCTGAGTGCCTAAACACGGGGCCACCCTAGGAAGTGGCTCCTTACTACTCTCCCTGCTAAGCGCGTAAGAGAGCATCTGGATTTAATTAAACCGCCTCTGGATTTAATTAAACCGCCAAAGGACCAGTGTCAGGATCAGCACAAAGCTGGCTCCTTTGAGGTAGAGCTCAGACATCCCTCACTCCCCGGAGTTTGGCCAATTCTGACCCCAGCCCTCCCCCACACTGCCCTCTCTGCTTCTCTGGTGGGTTTGGTTGTGCATAGTCGGGGGGCACGCAGAACTCACAGATCCTACCCTCAGTTATGGGGGCGATTAGGGAAGTAACAGGCTACTGCTGGGGATCAGGACCCACTTTGAGGTAGTAGTTGTTCTCAGTTCCAGCTCACAGTGAAATGACTCTATGTTCAAGAGAACCAAACGTTGCCAGTTCCTGGGCCGTCTCCCCAAGTATTGTCTCATTTGAGCCCCGTGTGCCAACGTCTCATCAAGAGTCTTCCTTGTTTTCACTGCCCTTCTACTTGACCAAGCAGGGTGTCCTTTCCCAGGGAACGTTCTCTCCAGATGACACGTCCAACGCATGTGAGACGGAGTCTCGCCATCCTCGCCTCTCAGGAGCCCGCTGGCTGCACTTCCTCACACGCAGATGTGTGTCTTTCGGCAGACTGTGGTCCTTCCAATGCTCTTCACCAGCACCCCAACGCACCCGTCCTTCTTCGGTCTTCCTTATGCAAGGTCCAACTTTCACAGGCATGTGAGGCGATGGGAAATAGCATAGCTTGGATCAGGCACACCTTCCTTGCTTTGAACACTTTTAAAATTTTTTAATCATTTTATCAGGAGCTCTTACAGATATCATAACAATCCATAATTCAATCACAGCCAACAGGATTGTACAATTGCTACCACAATCAATTTCCATACAGTTTCTTTCTTCTCGAACTCCTTGATATCATCTCCCCTTAATCCTTCCCTCCCCCATTGTACCCCCCAGAAGCCCCTTTTTCCCCCTATAATAGTTTGGGTTTTTTGCCATATCTTATGTAGCAGATTTACCCAATGCAATATGGCATTTGATCTCTTGACTGCTGCTTCTATGAGCATTCATTGTGAATCCAAGCTAAATGAAATCGTTGAGAACTTTAATCTTTTCTTCATTTATCAGAATGTTACCTTGGTCTAGTTATAAGGATCCGGGTCTTCTTTACATTGAATTTTAATCCACACTTCAGGCTGTTAGGTAGATGTTCACAATTCCCTTTCCCAAGCAGCAATATTTTCTTGTGATTTGGATTAAAAGAACACCACGTAAAGCCTCAGATACACACACACTCACGTCATAGCTGTAACCTCGTTCCTGAGCCTGCCACCATTTGACCCGCAATCTGAGGGACAGATGACCTTCTGAGTCACCCTCCGCTTCCCTTTAGAAGTGGCCTCGCCTTCTTAAGAGCCACACCAGCAACAATGAGGACAAGAATGAAGAAAACGTTGTGACATTGATTGTGGTGATGATTGTACAACTCTTCTTGGGATTGAACTCTTGCCTTGAATGAGATGTGGATTATACGCCAATGAAACGGTTTTTAACCAAGAACCACACCGGCTCTCAAAGTCTGACAATGTCTGGCAAAGGGAGGCAGGCAGCCCCACGGAGACCCCTGGAACACGGCCTGTGTGTTACCGTCCCCCACGCCCTCGCAGTTACCTCTCCAGACCTCCCCCCTTTTCCGTTGCCCTCACCCCTCTGCCCCACTCTGAAGGCCCTGGTAGGGACTGACCTCCTCGGTCTGACCTCCTGTGGCCTGTCTCCATGAGCAGCCTTTTCATTCAGAATAACCGGGGACCCCAGGCCTTGCTGATCCCCACCTCAGGCCAGAACACGGAGGACCTCGACCTGCCGGTTCCACGTGAGCAAACGCTTGTCCTCGGGACTTCTTCAAGTGGGGGACAATGGTGAGAGCGAGCCGGAGTGAGAAGAAACTTTGGGTGAAGCTTCCGCGGAAACCAGCTGGGTCTGACCCAGCACAGGCCCCTTGGCCTTCACAGAAACAGAAAAACAGAGCTCAGGGCCGGCTGCTGTGCCAAAGGGGCCTGGCCACCCGCCCGGAGAATTCCACTGGGAGGGGAGACCGCAGGAGCATTTGAGTCCCCACTGATTCCCTTCACAGCCTTCTCTGCTTCAAAGGCCTTTGCCGATTCCTTCGGTCTGGAATATTCACTCCCCGCTGCGCCCCTTGCTGACTAAGGGTCTGGGCTGTGGCCCAGAGGCTGGGCCCATCATGAGCTGCGTGAGACCAGAGTCAGAACTCAGAGTCTGAGGATGGGTGGACAACAGAAGGGCAAGAGGGGGGTGAGGATGGGAGCTATCAGGGCAGCAGAACTTCTGGAGATGAGTGTGGACAGGGCAGACCTGTGGCCAAACAGGTGTGTTATCATTCAATGCAAAATTATTTGCCGGGCTGGGCCCAGAGGACAGACATGAACAAGGCGGGGGCCCTTACTCGGGAGGAGCATGGAGTGTCATTAGAGAGAGCTCCCAAACCTCCATCAAACATCTCAGAAGCACAGCCTCGTGGGGAGCAGGCTGGGGACTCATGATGACAGCGCAGCCATTATCATAGGGCCGACATTGCCGTCCATTGACTGCTCGCTTTGTGCCGGGCATGGCGCTAAGCACAGTGCAGGGTTTGTCTTGCTCAGTATAGGTAACCACTCGGAGAAAGAGCTATTCCTATTTACATAAGGGAGGTCCACTGAGTTGCCCCAAACCACCCAGCTAGCCAGCCCGCCCATGAGCTTAGAAGGACTCTGCCTATTCATATGGTCAGGAGCGGTGCCAAGGGGCGGTTTGGGATCAACTGCTAACCTGAAGATTGGTGGATGGAACCTACCCAGCCCCTCTATGGAGAAAGGCCTAGCAATCTCCTTCCACAATTAGTCACGGCCACCGAGTCTAGTCTGACCCTGTGGGCAGGGGAGAACTGGCCCTGTGGGTTTCTGAGAGTGTAACTTTATATGGGAACAGACAGTCTCACGTTCTAGGTAAGGGCACCTGGGTTTGAACCACTGACCTTGCCATTACCAGACCAACACATACCCACCAAGGCTCCATAAGCCAAGAGAAGGCTCTGGAGCGGCTGTAGTCCAGCACACATGGGGTCTCCATGAGCTGGAATAGGCTTCCTAGCAAAAGGGTCACTTTGGCTGGTTGAGAGTTAGGCTTTGTGTCCACTCGGCTGGGTCCATGTTCTCAGAAATTTGGAAAGAACCCAGCTGCACACAGCTGGTAAGGTCCTTGACCCACAAATATTAACTCATTTGCCCTCATAGTCTGAGGTGCGAGATGAGACGTTTAAAACAACCCAAAAATGTATGAAATTAGAAGTGGAACTTCCCCATCCTCTGTCAGCCAAGACAAGCCCTGTGAAGAATGGATTGTTTAGCTTTCCGTGATTATTCTTTTTTCTTTTGGGTCCATATTTATCTTTGCCCTTTGAGAGGTTAGAGATGGAGACTTGGAACAGAGATAGAATTTAGCCGGGGATGTGGAGTTGAGAACGATTTTATTGAGGCAGGGAAAGAGCTCCCGGGAGGGGAGGGAGAGCAGAGAAAGGGACAGGAGCATCTTGAGCTCCTGGGCGGTTCTGAGACCCAACGAGTTAAGTCAGGGAAATCACAGCTTGTCAGTGAGGTGGTGGAAGATACATAGGGCTCGATCTAGGGAGGTAGACAGTTGACAACAAGAAGGGAGGTTTTTTGCTTGCAGCTGCAGGACCTTGAGTCAGGAAGCGATCCGTGGGAAGTGCCTTGGTTGTTTGCCAGCCTACTCCCTGGAGTGCTGGGACAGGGGCTGCACAACCTTGGTCTGGAGAGATAGGCTCCTTGGAATGTTGGGGCAGGAGATGCATACTTCAATAGGTCATTTATCCTCCCGAGAGGCTGCAAATGGGGGCCTTGAAGTTCTATCTCCTGAGAAGCCGGAGAGGAGATGGGGGCTGCCTAGTCCAGACCCAGCCCAAACACTCTTGTTTCATTTGGTATTCATTTGCCTTAAGAATGAAAGTCTCACAGATTAAGTTGAAATTCCTCATAGCCCTCTCCTTCCATCCTTCCTGCCTGCTCATTCCTCTTCGGAACAAAGGAAAGCAGGTCATGAAATGGGTGTGTAGTCAGTCTAGCGTCCATACTCCTGCTACGTGTGCCCATCAACCATCACTCCCTCACACTGCAGCCATCGAGGTGGTTCCAACTCATGACGACCCTGTTGGACAGAGAAGATGCCCCGTGGGTTTCTGAGACTGTAACTCTCTATGGGGGCAGCAGGCCTCACCTCTCTCCCTTGGAGCAATTGGTGGTTTTGAACCGCTGACTTGGTAGTTAGTAGCCCACTGCATAACCCACTTACACTCCTTCCATGAACAATAGATACGATTATTTCCTCCTGTTGTTTTTGAAACATATGGAATGATAGTGCATTTCACCACCACTCGCTACCCACTCTATCCTTATTGAAACATCCTTCAGGACACGGAGGTCGTGAAGATGTTGTCCTACATGTTCTTCCATTGGCTCGCAATTCTTCGTTTTGACATTTAAGACTTTATGTGGAATTTTTTGTTTTGAGTTGGGATAGATTCCATAGCACGGTTTGGTTTATTGATGATGTAAGGAAGGCAGACGTTTTGTTTTGCTTTTTCATGTTATTGTTTTCCTGTTAGGTACCCTTGAGACTAAGACCGGACAAGGAAGAAGGAAGCTGCCCAATCAGGAGGAAGCAGACACTGAAAGCCTTATAAAAGAGGGATGTTGTCCCGGATGTTTGTCTGGCTTGGGTCCACAAGCCGCATGCATGGAAGTAGCAGTCAAGAGATCAAAAGACAAGTTGCATTAGGTAGATCTGTAGCACAAGATCTCTATAGAGTGTTGAAAAGCAAGGACGTTACTTTGAGAACCAAGGTGCACTTGACCCAAGCCATGGTGTTTTCAATCACATCCTATGCATGTGAAAGATGGTCATTGGATAGGAAGATGGGCGATGAATCCATGCGTTTGAATCGTGGTGCTAGAGGAGAATATGGAAAGTACCATGGCCTACCAGAAGGACCAACCAATCTGTCTCGGAAGAAGTACAGCCAGAGTGCTCCTGAGAGGCGAGGATGGTGAGACTTGATCTCGCATGCTTGGTGTGGTCAAGAGTGGCCAGTACGTGGGGAAGGACATCATGGTTGGTAACGTAGAGGGACAGGACAAAGAAGGCCCTCGATCAGATGGATTGACACAGTGGCTGCAAAATGAGCTCAAACATAAGAATACTCGTGAGGAGGGCACAGGCCTGGGCACTGTTCATTCTGTTGTCCGTGGGTTTCTGTAAGTCAGCACTGACTGGACCCTGGCCATAACAGAACGGAACAGCAAAGAGTCCGCACCTTCCTCACGATGGTTCCCACGCCCGAGCCTCTGTTGCAGCCACTGCGTCAGTCCATCTCGGTGAGGGCCCTCCGCGGAGCGTGACGTCCTTCTCCAGGAACTGCTCTGTCCTGACCACATGTCCAACGGATCTCAGACTAAGTCTTGCCATTCTGGCCTCTAAGAAGCACTCTGGGAATTCATTAAAACAGAACAAAACAAAACCCTAACTTACTGCCATCAAGTGATAGCGACCTTATAGGACAGAGTAGAACTTCTCCTGGGAGTGTCTGCGACTGTAATTCTTTATGGGACTAAAAAGTCCTGTCTCCAGAGGAGAAGCTGGTGGTGTTGAACTGTGAACCTTGAGGTTAGCAGCCCAACCCAAAACCACTGCACCACAAGAGTTCCTGTAGGAATCCTTAGCCAGAAAATTATAATAACCGTGCTTTCAATTTTAGGGGGCAGGGCACTAAATATGAACGATTAAATCAAAGTAAACACATATGTGCAGAAAACTAAACAAAACTTTCCAATCAAGAAAACCACCGCCACGAAGGTAATCAAAGAACATTCTTTCTCATCCCTCTACCACCCCGGCCCTGGAGGGAATTCAGACCCATAGCAACCATATGGTCTGCAAATAGTCTAGCTAGAATGATGAGGAGGAGCCCTGGGGACATAGCGGTTACGTGTTTGCAGCCACCAGCCGCTCCTTGGGAGAAGGATGAGGTTTTCTACTCCCCCAGTCTCAGAAAGCCACCACAGCAGTTCTCCCCTGCCCTATGGGCTCACGATGAGTCGGAATGGACTGGCATGCAGTGAATGAAGATGATTCAGTGGGAAAGCTAACAAGAGGCAATGAATGGTGTGCTAGCAAACGCTTAGTAACAAACTCATGGGGATCAAGCCTTGTGGCTTTGAATATGTGACATTTGCCAAAACCCTTAGTACTGTATAACACAAACAGTAGCCCTAATGTAAACGCTGAACTGTCATTAATAATGTACCAATACTGGTCAATGGTAACCAAGGTACTAATACCACATTAGTATTGTGATGTTAGCATAGGGGGGAACTATGTATTTGCATGTGGGTGTGTCAAAACTCTCTGCACTATCTCTGTTCAACTCTTCTGTAAAGTTTAAGCCAGCCTATTAATCAAAAATTACTATTGTTGCAAGAAATGCTTTTTAATGATTGGATACTTCCCTCATTGAAACGCAGGGTTAAGACGATTTCCTTTCTGTGTTCAGGGCCTATTTGGTGCTGGATGCATTTTGGCACTTTAGGGCAGTGCATTGCAAATCTTACTGTGCCGGCTAGTCTCCTAGGTGCCCTGGTGGTGCAGGGGTTGAGCGCTCAGCTCCTAACTGAAAGTGGACCGTTCAAACCCAGAGCCACGTGGCAGTCGGCTTCTGTAAAGACACCTTGGAGACCTTAGGAGGCCGGTCCCCTTTGTCCTCCAGGGTCGCCACGAGCAACACTAGCAAACCCTTGTCCTGAGTTTAGTTGTGTGTGTT